AATTTTAAACACGTAAGTCATGGTATGATTTTTCCCTGATTAATAAAGAGGCATGTGTTTATTGAGAGCTAATTGCACACTAGGCATTGTTCTAAAATGGTGCTTCTGAATTATCTGGGGTTAAGAATAGGTTTTATTTAATTATTTTAACTTTTCAATCCATTGCAAACTAATAAGTGGTTCTACTGTGCATGGCTAATGTGCTGCTCACACCACACATGCCTCATTATCCAAGTTCAACAAACCCTTGGCTGCTCCACAAGGAGTCCCCGAATCATGAGTTTGGATGTCATGGCAAAGTCAAAAGCCTATAAAGGTTTCTAACAGCTTTCCTGAAATTCCTGTACTTATTGTGGCCTGAGGTTATGAACAGTTCGTGGCCTGGCACTAGCCCGCAGACCATGATGCTTTGAGTGGCACTGTTGTAGAGTATGTCCTTCATATTTCATCTTCCCAACAGCCCTCTGAGAAAAGTACTACCCCAATCTCAATTTTACAGAAAAACAAATGGAAGCATAGTGTGTTTCCCAACCCAAGGGTCAATAATTAATAGGTAGTAGAACTTGGATCCAAACCCAGGCAGCCACTGCACAGAGGAGCCAGCATCCGGATCCAGGACGGCAGACTCCGGAGCTTGGGCTCCTTCTCGTGCGTGCTTGTTTCATTTTAACTCTATGTAAAGTAAGAACAGTTCGGTCTCCACCATGGTGAGGATCCCCTGAAATACACCTTCTACAGTTTACAAGCCTACCTTCATCCACATTTATCTTACTCTCCTCTCATGGTGGAAGAGGGGGAACTTCTTACTATCCAAACTCAACGCATTTCCCTCTGGGTCCTAACCTTTCTGTTCTGTTGGATGCTCTTGGTCCACCAATCATCCCAACCAAAGCAACTGTGCAAGTTCAAGAAGTATGTCCATTTTACAGATGAAGCAGTTGAGGTTCATAGAGACAGAAACTTATCCAAGCACGTAACCAAGGCTACATGGCTATAGGGTGGCCATATCCCCATTTGTCAAGGACAGTCCCAATTTATTGCCCTGGCGGACAGCATATTCTTTGGTCACCCAGGATTGCTAGGGAGTAGCTAAGACAGAATTGGCAGCCAGATATATATGACTGACCCCCAAACTAGGGATCTTTCTACTACCCTAGGATACCCCTTTAAATCTCAGAATTATAGTTTAAAGGAAGGCTTCTTCCCAGCCATTATCCATTCACTCAACAAACATTTATGAGCACCCACGATGTGACAGACATTGTGCTATAAGATGCAGATTTTAAAATGAACAGGGCATGGTCCAAGTCCTCAGAAGCTCATGGTTTAGAGAAGAGACAGAACCACAAATACTCAGGGCAGCATACATAATTTATAGGCCCCAGTGCAAAATGAAAAAGCGGGGCCCTTTGTTTAAAAATTCAGAATCTCTAGATGGTGAAAACAGTGCATTAAACTAAGTGCTGGGTCCTTCTAAGCAGGAGTCCTGTACACTGCAGACCCCATCTATGATTCACTGTAATGAGGGGTACTCAGGGTATTATAGACATATATAGGAGTTAACCAATCTGAAGACTGCTCTTAAGATCACTTCCTGGAATAAATGAACACTGCTGATTTTAGAGAATAAGGACAACCAGGATATTTCCCCTACATGGACCTTCTCTTCTCTTTTTCAGGTTACAGGTTCTTGAAGCCAATCACTTAATCAGCCATCTCTTGTCAACTGGCAATTCATTTTGACTTAAATGCCAATCACCAGGAGTCTTCTGCCACTCAACACTCCAATAATCTCCCTCCACAGCTGGAACATATACTGTGGTGGACATGGAGGTGTGCCACCCATCACCCCCTTCAAGGACTTGTCCCAGCTGCTGGAGGTTTAGTTGTTGGGCAATCTTCTGCTGTCAGCCCTTCTGGGGACAGCCCACATGCAATGACTAATCAAGGTAGAGGGAGAAAGCCCTGGCCATTGGCACACAGATGACCCTCATTGACCATTTTAGCTCCAGAGCTCCTGGTGGGGTCAGCTGGTCTCTCTGGCTAGCACTCCAGCTTGATTTCTCCCTCCACCCAATCCTGCTTCTTCCCTCTTGATTACACAAAGATTAATCCCAATCCCAAGGCTCTGTAATCAACATCCAGAACACCAAATTCCATCTCAGAGTCTGCATCCCAGATAATCAAACTGCAGCACAGACCAAAGAAGCTTCTAGGACTTGGGGAGGATTTTTACTTGAAAATTAGTTATATTCATAAGACTTATTTCTTCCCAACCCCTGCCTAGCTTCTGCAGAATCATAACACGTATTTCTAAATCCTGAAATCAAATATAAAATAGTGGAAACAAGGACTCTGTATGTGAATTAGTTACCCTCTGGGTTGAAAACTTCCATTTGATAAGGATCAACATATCCATTAAAACACATATAACATATTTTGTGGAAATTAAACGATGAGTTTCATTTTTGAGGAAAACTACTTGTTTTTCAATCTGTATTTGGGAAATAATGTAGCCCATAACTATACTATTTACCAAGTAATATGGAAGGATTTCATTGACCCACATTTACTCAATTTTCAAAGAATGAGGATTTGAGAATTAGACCATTTGGTGAATAAGTTGGGTTGAGCATAGACATGGCTTTTAGGATGAGCATTACTTGTTGAACATTCTTAGTTTTCTTTATTTCAGGTGAAAGATTTCTCTCTTTGCTTTTAGTAAAATATGTCCATTAGTAATGCATATCACATTTGTGGAATTATAAAGACGTTATTTTGAGCTGTGGTGGCCAGAATGTCATACAGTTTTCAAGGTAAAGGCACAGCTTGAAAACACTCTAAAACAGAATTGGCTGTGGGAAGTGACTTACACATTCATTCAGGTGCAAAATCTAACACACTTCAGGGCATACGATTCTGAACATCATTAATCTTTTGAGAATAGGATTTGAAACAAATACCGAGATTTGAGAAGACGGGCTTCTAAAATCTCCACAGTCAAACCCTCTGAAAGAAGAACACGATTTTCATTGCAGTACATAAGGACAAGTTAATCAGCTGATAAATTAACATTAACTCAACTCACTAAATTGAACAATACTAAATAATAAATCTAATTCACTGACTCATTGAATTGATTAAAGTTGTTTCTTCACAAGACATCGACCACTTAAAGTGTTATTAAAAGCATCTAGCATTATTTCTTGTATTGATACACAGTATATATTTTTAAAATTACATATTTATGGGATACATGCTTTTGTTACATGCATAGAATGTGTAATGATCAAGCCAGGGTATTTGAGGGTATCTATCACCTTCAGTATTTATCATTTCTATGTGCTGGTAACATTTCAAGTCCTCTTTTCTAGTTACTTTGAAATATATAATACATTGTTGCTAACTATAGTCACCCTAGGCTGCTATTAAACATTAGAACTTCTTTCTTCTACCTGTGTTCATACCCGTTAACCATGAGATTAAATGTTTTAGCTCCAGTATGAGAGAACATGTGGTATTTGTCATTCTGTTCCTGCCTTATTTCACTTAACAGAATGACCTCTAGTTCCATCCACGTTGCTGCAAATGACATGTTTCCATTCTTTTTTTGTGGCTGAATAGTATTGCATGGTACATATATATATATATACACACCATATACAAAATTCTTTCATCTGTTGATGGACACTTAGGTTGATGCCATTTTTTGCTATTGTGAATAGTGCTATGATAAACACAAGAGTGCAGGTATCCCTTTGATATACTGATGAAAGAAATATATATATTTCTTTTCCTTTGGGTAAATACAGTTAGTGGGATTGCTGGTTTGTATGGTACATCCATTTTTTTTTTTTTTTTTTTTTTTGGGGACAGAGTCTCACTTTGTTACCCAGGCTGGAGTACAGTGGCGTGACCTCGGCTCACTGCAGCCTCTGTCTCTCAGGTTCAAGCAATTCTCCTGCCTCAGCCTGCTGAGTTGCTGGGATTACAGGCATGCGCCACAATGTATGGCTAATTTTTATATTTTTAGTAGGGATGGGGTTTCACCATATTGGCCAGGCTGGTCTCGAACTCTTGACCTCAGGTGATCCGCCTGCCTCAGCCTCCCGAAGAGCTCAGATTGCAGGCGTGAGCCACTGCGCCCAGCCATAAGGGACATCTATTTTTAGGTTTGTTTTTTAGAAATCTCTATACCAGGCTGGGCATGGTGGCTCACGCTTGTAATCCCATCACTTTGGGAGGCCATTTGGATATTCTCTTTTGTGAAATACCCATTCACATCTCTTATCCATTTTTCTAATTGGGCTTTCTGTGTTTTTCTTAATGAGTTTTAAGAGTTCTTTATAGTTTATGGTACTGGTCAGACTTTAGCCTGCATCAGAATCACACTTAGGTTGCTGGCTTCAGTAGCACATATACTAAAACTGTAATGATACAGAGAAGATTAGTATGGCCCCTTAAAAAAAATCACCTTAGGGCTTGTTAAAACGCACATTCCTGGTCCCCACCACCAGAGTTTCTGATTCAGTGGATCTGGGGTGAGGCACCAAAATGTGCATTTCTAATGAGTTCCCAGGTGATGCGCTATGCTGCTGGCCCAGGGACCACACTTCGAGAATCATTATTTAATAGTGATTTCAGTGTAAGAGCAATAGACGTTTCTTGTTAGTTTTGGACAAAGTCATCTTAAAAACCAAAACCAAAAGCAAAAATCTCAACCATTTAATACTGCTCAAGCCTGAGGCATAAGCGAATACTCTTTCTTCCTAGAAGGGTACAGATGGACTTGTTTAAATAGCAACCGCTTCAAACTGTCTGAAACCCACTGAAATCTACCCGTTAGAATATTTGGTACACCTAATTCGCCAAGAGAACCGGTTGATGATAGAGGGTATCCTTTGATCCCATATTTTTCGATCTCAGGAAAACTCATTGGCATTCATCAGCAAGAACATGAGTCAGGAATCCCTCGAAGCACAGAAATACAGATCTCTGAATGGAGATGAAAACTATCATTTATTTCAACTGAATTTAGTTTCATTAAAAAATTCTATGACAACATTAAAACAGAAACAGGATGTTTATATGACTGTCTTTAACCTCAAAAGTCCAAATAAACATATAGACATTCTGAATATAGCTAACGTTTTAACAAACCTCATTATGATCACCGTTGTAATTTCAGTCACCTAAAATACGAGCCATGACTATTAGTAAACGTTTACTGTGTGTGGTTTATTGGACTGAACATTAACCATACATTTATTTCTAAGTACTAGGAGTTGAACAGCTACTACAGTCAATGTATTTTGGTAGTTAGCTGTGTGTGTGCTTTTTAAGGCTTCACTCAATAAAACATCTGTTGCTCTCTGCTGATGTGTCAAAAAACTTGCTATATGAAGGACACATATATGTATACAAACAAATGCACACGTGTGCATGTCTATATACATAAATGCAATTTCAGGGAAGTGATACCTTATTCTGAGAGGTCATGAGACTCCACTTCAAACCATAATAGTAAAACCTTTAGTAAACTGAACTCAACATGTTGCAGCCACCACCATCAAGAAAAATCAAAGACCCACAGTTCAAATAAAGTACAACAGGTCCCAGGAAGTATTGTGGTTTGTTGATTCATTCAACAGAAAGCCCAAATGACAATGCTATTAGTGGTCAGAAGTAAACTAACCTGGACAGGCTCATGAAAATGAACCCCTGGATGCATCCTGAGAACATACTGCATAATTATAGTCAATGCTTGCAACAACTTTCAGTTTGTCTCATCAGGTTAGCAGAGCCTATTCATGCAATTTAGAAAGGATTTCAATAAAGCCTAAACCAAAAGGCTTACAGTCAACAGAGGGTTAGCCTTCCATAAATGAGAAATCCAAAAAAGAATGATGCCACGTATTTCAGGAATGTCGGTTAGAGGTTTGGCCTTCTTGGGAAGTGTCACGATGCTGAGTCTAAAACTGCAACAGTTACCATGTCCAAGTCATGCAACTCTAAAGGAGGATGGACGGTCACATTTGTGTCCTTCAGTATCAAAGCACCTTTAAGGGCCTCCATTTTGAGACAGTAATATTTTCTCTTCCTTCTCTTTTAGAACATATGATAAAATATTGTCCTTCTATCCTTTAAACAAATATCCCTTTTTTTTTTTTTTTGGTGGAGAGTAAGGGTTACATACTCCCTACTACTATGTCGCAAACTTTTTCTTTTTGTTGTTCCTATTGGTTTTAACTGTACTATTTTCTAACAAGAAGCCTTCAGAGAAAATAATGGATCCTAGTTATGTCAAAGAAAACAATGAGACAAAATGGCAACTTCACAGTCTTCAAGTAAATAGAATCCCTGATATAAATGGAAATTAACATGTAATTTTGGGGCAGTAAAAACAACAACAACAAAAACCTGTGACAACTTTGTCCTACTCCTTTAAAAATGAGCTTTGACTCTGTAGTTTCTTAAGGCACAAAACCTGATAGACAGCATTTAACTGGTGGCCTGCATCTCTGATTTGGATTTTAAAAAACAACTATTGACATTTAAATAAAAATAAACCATTTTGTTAGAGCTGGAGATCACTGGATAAGTTGGGAGAAATATTCAAATGAACCGGCATCTTGTATGTATAAATATTTGTTGCCAAAGTAAAAAAATTACAATGTGGTTTACATAGTCCAAAAACTAGCAGAAAACACCTTCGGAACAGACTTGACGTCTTGGTTGGATTCACAGTGCTGTCTCGAAAATAGTTAAGGTCGAGGGCTGTCCATTGGAAGTGTTTGTAACCACATGGTCAGTGTGACCGATATGTGGATAATTTCTTTTGAAGTATACCTGAAAGAAAAAGAAAGAAAGAAAACAGGCAAGCATAAAAAGAATGTTTCAAAATTTTAAAGTCCTCCTCCCTGAAACAATGCACTTCTGTGTCCACTTCTTCATGTGAAGCAGATCATATCCCTCACTGAGGCACAATTTAAGAACAGGGATGAATGTACTGTACAGAGGAATTAGCCTCACTGGAACCCTCGCAGGGCTGGGTTGAATGCCAAACAACCTGTAGATCCATTTTAGTTCCGATCACTCTGATTCATAGATATGTTTTATCTCTGTATGAAATTGATAAGCAGAATCATTTTACTGACTCAAAACCTAGAGACAAATTAAAAACAGGGTGACAAAGAGGCTGGGAAATCTAGCGTCTGCACGAGGGTTTCTCATTTTCACACATAAAATGAGCACAATAGATGTGGATGTTAATATCAAGTTGTAATCCCTATATTTTATAAACTCTGATTGACAAGCATTGAAATGCTGGCGTATATGTATGAAACATCCCGGCGTTTAATTTGTGCGGCAAAGCAGTTATAGGGCCTATAGAAATGTGGTCTGTGGATAGTGGCCCACAATAATGAAAAGAGAAGCAAAAGCTTTAACAATGACTCCACCAAGCAACTTCTCTAAAATGTAAGATGATACCAAATAATAGGACAGTTCTTTGCCAAGCCTTTGAGTTCCTGAATTCTTGCAATTTCTAGCTGAACTAGAAGAGATACAGGTTTTCTGATAAATGTATAATCAGAACATAAAGGAAATGAAATGCTGTCAAGTTTCTCTGTTCCGCGATCATCAGTTTTTAGTAGCTGTATCGTATCTTGGTTCCTTGACAGATGCGCATAACAAAATGAAATAATGTCAAGACTTGTGAGCTCTTATCTCAAAATGTGTTTGGGTGAAAAAGGACTTCAAATGTAATTTTTTTCCCCCCAAAGAAGAATGTGAAAAGTTTTGTTTGAGTCTTTAAAACAGAAAATGTAGCAACTATCTGAGGCTGACACGTGTCAGCTGGGTCTCTTAGTCATACGATGCTGGATCTATTTTATAAAATCTTGCTCCGAGTATATTTGTGGGTGCTGTCGACAAAGTTATCACTGGAGATAATGGGCTTCACATACAAAAAAGAAAGTGCTGAGACACCTGCCTACATATTAAGTGTACTTTCTTTTTCTCTCACTTCTTGCATGCTTGTTACTCCAGAAACATTACATATAACACACTATATATTAAAATGTCACTTAAGGAGAAAATAAATCGTCCAATAATGCTGGAATGCTACCAGAGGAAACCTGAGGCTATTTCCATTATAATGCAAGTGTTCAAAAACAAGACTTTTCAGGGGATAATTTCATATCATCTCCCTCTCCCACTTTTTTTAAGCTAGCCATATTTTGTGCGGTTATAGATTTATGTACTCCAAAAAGGCTATTCCTTAGTGAAACTAAAAACAACCAAAAGAACAAATAGACATTCACATCACTTTCTACTGCTTGATAGCCTTCCCCAAATAGGATGCTTCCTTCTGTGTAACCCTCTTGATGTATTTTTTTTATATAAAGAAAGTGTTGTTATTAGCAATTTTAAACCCAAATGGTCTTAGCTTCATGGTCTGAAATGCTTAGTCAAAAACAAATCCTGTGTATATAGTCTTTGATTTGACCTTTCTTTTTCTCTTCTGCTACCAGGTTTTATAACACACTATGGGTAACAACACAGGTGAGATAAAACATCTTTTTTACAGTGCAGGTGATGAAGGGAGTTGAGATTACTGAACCACTTTTAGCAAAGCCCTCATGTTGTAAGCTATGTCTGGGATGGACAGGTCCAGTCTCAGCTCTCTGGAGATTCATTGCTGATCCTGGAAAAATTACCTAACCACTCTCTCTACCAGCTGCCTCATCTGTAACATGAGATAACAATAGCCTACGTCACAGGAACTGATTAATGGCTACAGACAACAGATTGAAAACCTGCCGCATTAGTGTTGGGTGTCATGATGAACGCTGCTCAGAGAAGTGGCCCCTAAGTACACAGAACGTGGCAGTATCGCCTGGCTTGAAGGATGAAGACAAAGCATCTAGGAAATCCTCTGGTGCATCTTTTATCTTTACAGAATCCCAAAGCTGTGGCTGAGACAAATCAACTGAGTGAAGATGGTAACCTGGGAGGCAGAAAGGCAGAACTAAAAGATCATAGAAGTCGGAGTATGAACACCTTTGAACTGGTGGCTTTGAAAAGTTACTCAGGCCGGGCGCGGTGGCTCACGCCTGTAAGCTCAGCAGTGTGGGAGGCCAAGGCAGGCGGATCACTTGAGGTCAGGAGCTTGAGACCAGCCTGGCCAACATGGTGAAACCCCATCTCTACTAAAAATACAAAAATTAGCCAGGCATGGTGGTGCACGCCTGTAGTCCCAGCTACTCAGGAGCCTAAGGCAGGAGAATCACTTGAACCCAGGAGGCAGAGATTGCAGTGAGCCAAGATTACACCACTACACTCCAGCCTGGGTGACAGAGTGAGACTCTGTCTCAAAAAAAATAAATAAATAAAATTTTTTTTTAAAAGTTACTCAGCTTCTTTTATTTTAGCATTTTCATGTGTCAAAAGGGGATAATAACAGCAGGTTAGAAGGACTGTGAAGCTTAAGGAAGACAATGCCATAAGCATTCATGTTTGTGGCAAGAAGAGTATCAGTGAGTATGGGAAACCTTGTCCCTCTTTTCCTTCTTTTCTTGAGTTTGCTCCATTATAGTTCCTCTAATGTAGGTTGAAACTAAGTTCAGTATTTAAACTCTAGCTCATCAGTGAAGCCACCATAACAGAGCTAGATTTTACTAAAATCAACAGAGCAATACAAGCTCCCCCATGTGGACAAAGGAGAGCGACTGGGCTTTGATTGACACTGCATTCCTAAGATACCATCTGATGTGTTGAATTCAGGCTCAAGACCCTGTCAGTTCATTTTTACTGATATGTATGGCCCTAATTCAATCACAGTAACTCTCATGGCCTCAAGTTCATCATTTTTAAAGCCAGTCTAATTTTGGTGTACATAATTGGCATGAATATTGTCAAAGTCAAAGAGTAATGGAGACTTAGAAAGGACTTCTGCTTTTAAGATAATGGAGTAATGAATTTTCTCTCTTTTCCCTTTCAGAAACCACTCTAAGCATCAAAGATATTCATTAATAAAAAATAAGCTAAATCTTTGTGAAATTAGGAGAGCCTGAATGGTAAAGTATCATGAAGGGCTGCCATATGCAACTGGAACCAGTGGAGCTGTGGCAAGGCTGAGAAGATGTCTATGAAGAGCAGGCCTCAACAATCATAGGAAAGTAAAGTTCTCCAATTAACTGGAGGAACACTAAGGTATGTCAATAAACAATCAAAAAGAAACATCTTTGACCTATGTACATTGGTGAAGTCCTGGCAGAAGAGAGATTGCAATTGCCCAATTCTGTAAGCTAAGGAGGAAGAAAGCCAAAACATGCATTCTCAATTTCACATACACACCCCCACCCACCCACACCCCACTCCCCACCCAGCTCCACACCCCACACACCCATCCCACCACACACCCCCACAACCACCCACACACCCCCACCACACACCCCCACACACCCACCCACACTCCCACACACCCCACCACACACCCATACACATAACCCCCCACACCCAGCACACCACCCATCCACATACCCCCCATACACACCCACACCCCCACACCTACCCACAAAGGCCCACACACACACACCCACCCACCACCCCACACACACCCACACCCCCCACCATACACCCATATGCATACACCCCACACCCACCCACCCCATACACACACTGATACCCACACACACCCACACCCCACCACACCCCATACACACACACACCCCATACACCCCGACCCACACCCCCACCACACACCCCACACCCCCACCACGCCCCCATATACACACACCACACCCCCCACACACCCACCCCCCATAAACACCCCCATGCACACCCACACCCCCCACCACACCCCCATCACACACATACCCTCACATGCCCACACACTTACACCCACACACCCATACCCACACCCTCACATGCCCACCCACACACCCACACCCCACCACCCCCACCACACACCCTCCACATACCCACCCCCCACACACCCACACCCCCCACCACACACCCACCACACACCCCACCCCCACACACCCACACCCCCACCACACCCTCACATACCCACCCCCCACACACCCACACCCCCACCACACACCCATACACACACCCACACCCCCACCACACACCCATACACACACCCTTACATACCCATCCCCCACACACCCACACCCCCACCACATACCCACACACACACCCTCACATACCCACCCCCACACACCCACACCCCCACCACATACCCATACACACACCCTCACATACCCACCCCCACACACCCACACCCCCACCACATACCCATACACACACCCTCACATACCCACCCCCAACACACACCCCACACACCCATACCACCACACACCCACATACCTAGCCACACACACCCACACACCCACCACACACCCATACACCCACACCCCTTCACACACACCCACACCCCCACCACACACCCCATACACACATACACACACACACACAAAAGCCTCACCTCCCCCTGCGACACACACAGCCTCTCTGGGTCATAAGTACTTCCACATTAAGCACAGAAAATTCCCTTTAGCCAGAAACAAGGCCCTAGCCACAACTATCCTGCAACTATCTGGTCTAGGAAAGTTCATTTTGTTCACAGGTGAAAGTAGGAATAATAATCATTATTATAGCAATAATTTTAAGAGTAGTACAGGGCCTGGAAAATATACAAATAAGAAATGAAATAAGATAAACACAGGACAAATGTTGAGCACATAAACTTTATGAATATAATATATTCAAAGAAAATGCAGCAGAATGATCAGGCTGTGCATAACAGAGATGCAAAATACAGGAAAACATGGCAGAGCAAC